TTTTGTTCCAGTGTTTCTGTAGTTTGGTGGTTTTTGCTCCAGTGTTTCTGTAGTTTGGTTGGTTTTGCTCCAGTGTTTCTGTAGTTTGGTTGGTTTTCTTCCAGTGTTTCTGTAGTTTGGTTGGTTTTCTTCCGGTGTTTCTGTAGTTTGGTGGTTTTTGCTCCAGTGTTTCTGTAGTTTGGTTGGTTTTGCTCCAGTGTTTCTGTAGTTTGGTTGGTTTTGCTCCAGTGTTTCTGCAGTTTGGTGATTTTTGCTCGTGTTTCTGTAGTTTGGTTGTTTTTGCTCCAGCGTTTCTGTAGTTTGGTTGGTTTAGCTCCAGTGTTTCTGTAGTTTGGTTGGTTTTGCTCCAGTGTTTCTGTAAGTTTGGTTGGTTTTGCTCCAGTGTTTCTGTAGTTTGGTTGGTTTTGCATCAGTGTTTCTGTAGTTTGAGTGGTTTTTGTTCCAGTGTTTCTGTAGTTTGGGCGGTTTTGCTCCAGTGTTTCTGTAGTTTGGGTGGTTTTGCTCCAGCGTTTCTGTTGTTTGGGTGGTTTTTGTTCCAGTGTTTCTGTAGTTTGGGTGGTTTTGCTCCAGTTTTTCTGTAGTTTGGGTGGTTTTGCTTCAGTGTTTCTGTAGTTTGGTTGGTTTTGCTCCAGTGTTTCTGTAGTTTGGTTGTGTTTGCTCCTGTGTTTCTGTAGTTTTGTTTTTTTTTGCTCCAGTGTTTCTGTAGTTTGGCTCTTTCTACTCTGTTTCTGTAGTTTGACTGTTTCTACTCCAGTGTTTCTGTAGTTTGGTTGTGTTTGCTCCAGTGTTTCTGTAGTTTGGTTGTTTTTCCTCCAGTGTTTCTGTAGTTTGGCTGTTTTTACTCTAGTGTTTCTGTAGTTTGGCTGTTTCTACTCTAATGTTTTTTGTAGTTTGGCTGTTTCTACTCTAATGTTTCTGTAGTTTGGCTGTTTCTACTCTAGTGTTTCTGTGGTTTGGCTGTTTCTACTCTAGTGTTTCTGTAGTTTGGCTGTTTCTACTCTAGTGTTTCTGTAGTTTGGCTGTTTCTACTCAAATGTTTTCATAGTTTGGCTGTTTCTACTCTAGTGTTTCTGTAGTCTGGGTGTTTTTGTTTCACTGTTTCTGAATGTTGAGTGTGTGTAAGCAGCAGAGACACTGCAGAGGTTTTCAGACTCCTGAAGGACGAAGCATCTCAGCTCTGAAGTGTCAGGTTACAGTCAGGTGCTTCAAGGACACTGCAGCTTCTGGTTGGAGCTGCAGGTCATTGAAGCCTTCAGTCACTTTAGTTTCAGCTCCAGTACTTTAGACTAAAACATTAAAACTAACAACACCTCCATATAAAACCTAAAGCCTCAAAAAGTCATTTCTAATGTGTTTCTGAGGATCTATGGCAGGTGGTTAAAAACCAGACAAAATATCATCCTTTTGTCCACTGACCTGTCCACTTAGTGTAAAGTTGTTTTCTTACGCTCAGATTGTTTTTATCTGTCAGTAGATTATAAAACACATTTATGAAAACTTGTCGTTTTATGGGATTAAGTTCAAACACTGGTTGTTATGTTTGAAGTAAACTCTCTCACAGAAACCCTCGCTGATGATCCGTGTCTGGTTTTATCTCTCCACAGTGGTGGACCGGCAGGGCTGTGATCCAAATACCCGTTTCCTGGTTCCTCCCCGGACCGTCCACTGGGTGGCGCTGCTGCAGAGAGGGAACTGCACTTTCAAAGAGAAGATCCTGAAGGCCATTACTTACAACGCCACTGCCGTCCTCATCTACAACAACTCCACCGATAAGACCGTCAAGATGGGCCATGAAGGTCAGCAGGTCTCCAGTTAGATCTTTATATGGACAGACTGACTCTGGACCAGCAGACTGACTCTGGACCAGCAGGATTGACGCCAGAGAGTTAGACCCAACAAGACTGAACTCAGACCTCACATCATGGACCTCAGACCCAAGTAGTTGAACTTTAGACACCAGGGGACAGTTCTCAGACCAGCAGGACTGTCTTCAGACCAGCAGGACTGTCTTCAGACCAGCAGGACTGACTTTAGACCATCAGGACTAGTTGAGAAACATCCCTCAGGGCAGGAGGAGGAGGAGGAGGAGGAGGAAGAAGAGAAAAAATGATATGTCTGATCAGCAGCTTCCTGATGATCGACGAATCTAAATATAAAATTTCGTATTGATTTCACTGTGACCTTATTGTGAGTGAATGTTCAGTCAGATACAGGATTTTAATATTTTATTTAAAGTCATTCATGAATCTTTTAAGCTTATTTATAAGGGAAAAATTAACTCTTAAAAAAGAAAAAGAAAAAAATAGTATAGGTCCTCTGGACGGGTTCTTCTCTAATGAAACGTTTCGTCTCTCCTCCAAGAGACTTCTTCAG